TGAAAGGCGAGCTTGAAAAATCAGACACAGAGCTTGACCTGATGACCCACAATTGGAACTGATATTTTACTCATTGAACACTAGGGATGCGTTTTACACGCTCTCTCCCTCAGACCTATTGAATTGTTCATTGCAGATGGGACTGGCGCAATTCTCTGTCCAAAACATGGGAACAGTTTACTCGTTGAGTGGAATAAACTACGGGGATGAAATGAGATAGAACTCGTAGTCCGTTTTAGACTAACCGCGACGAAAACACATTGGAAGAGACATTGTGTTCTCTTTGTCAGGTGATGAAACAAATTAAACGTAGTTGGTTGAACTGTTCTTGCTTTACACAAAATGAGGAGAGACGAGAGACCTTAGGTGTGTTCCACGTGACAGTCAGGAAGCAGTAAGATTTCCTGACCTTTGAGCTGAACCAGTGCTTATCATTGTATTAGTTATCCGTTTGTTGCTATCAAAGAATACCTCGTCACTATATTTGCCACATCTACCACCAGAAGATCAAATATATTGATCATGAAGCATAACACCAAGCTTCCTCACTTCTAGGTATTTTTGGAAGACCCAAAATGTCTAGGTATAAAGTAAGTGGTGGTAGAAATAGTTAGTAGTTTTTCTCATGGATAATCTAAGTTATTTTTTGTACGAATTGAGGAATCGTTAATCAAATCATCCAAGAGGCCGTGCCAAGTCAAATTACTACGTCTCACAAGCAAGCAGATTGACGTTTATTCCTTCGAGGGCCAAATTTGTTTCTATCTGTCTGCGTTCCATTACATTTTGATTAGCAATAAATGCGGAAAGAGAACTCGGTCACCTTAACCCGTTATCCAGCAACTCACACAAGTAGACAATAATCTGTTTACAACTTTAATTCAGTAGTATACGTTCCTTAGTCTCACTGATAAAGCTCACTTTGTCTCCAGTGGTTGGCATCACTTTGAAACGCGGTTTATATGTTTCTGAAATTGAGAGCTGGGTATCATTATTTGGACCATTTTTCATATTCTACTGATAAACGATCGAACAAATGATTGGATGCTTCATTGTTAATGTTCTCAGTTTTCGAGCTGGAAGAGTGATTGACGCATCGGATCAAACCAGAACTGCGCATGGTCAAGGAACTCTCACGGTAACTCATAAATACTTAATGATCTGCAATCTGGCTATCGGTTCTGAGGTGTGGTCAATCATAATTTGAACTTCATAATATGCCATGAAAAAGACTCCCATGAACACCAGGCTGATCAGAAAATGTTCAAGGTTATGAAAATTTGTCGGTGGATAATAACATATCAGACGGGATTGGGATACTTTGTTGTAGGACATTTGAGGACGTTGATGAAGCGATTAAGATCATTAACCTAATAACATTAGAGGATATGTGTTCAAATCTCACCACCAGTGTCTAACTTTCTGAATCTGCGTTTGTTCAGGATACAGTCATATAAAAACGGCGGCGAAAATACGCTTGTTTTTGAAAATTTCCTGTTAGAAATTACGAATTAAGTCACTGATTTGAGCGGAAAGAAAACAGTATGATGATAGAACCGCAGCTTGAAGTGCACGAAAACCATTGAGTGATGTCGTAGATTCCTCTTTCTTGATCTTACTTACATATACCATTGTAAATGTAGTCTTTGGTCTACTCAAATAGCTACGATGGACAACCAAGCGACTTCAGTTTGTCAAGTAAAAATGAAGACGGCACAGAGTTAACAGCTGAAGAGTAATGAAGAAACGCAGAACACTTAACTTTCTTTGTCTTTTGAATACTTGCAAGCATAGTGAGATAGGGTTAAAAAGGTATGCAGTGTAGAACAGCGCTTTTTAAATGAAGACTGATAAATGTTTTTGGAGTACTAACGGATAACCGAAGGTCATGTAGGACCAACTGTTTCATCAATTCAAAACCGATAGGCGTGACAGCAACTGGCGTGAAACATTTCGGAATAGGGTAATTATTCTTTCTTTGGGGCTGGTCGTAATTTTCACTTGTCAACAGCACAACGCAGTGGTTCGGAGTTTCCGCAAATCATTATGTATGTCTGATGAATCTGTGACAGTGACTCATCATTGTGCTTCAAACTTGTGAGACTTTAATCGTTTGGACAAGGTGCGGAATAATTGTGAGTTTGAAGAATACAATGTAGGTCAAAATGTTTTCGCTGAATTCCTTTTCAAGCCTTTACAATCAGATTATGATTATGATTACTGGTCCCTACGGGGGTGGCGAGTTACGTAGAAAATATGTCAACATGATTGATGATTATACGACGCAGCAGCGAGAACGTTCTATTCGGTTCCATAGTAAGGTCATGGAGGTTTCGGCAGAGTAAAAGGCAGAGGGGTGTTGTTCCAGTCACCAACTATTAGGTAAAAGCTCTCTCGATGACTGACAACCTACGCTGGATTGCTATGCAAAGAATGGTGGTGATGATAATAGAAAAGCGGGAAACTTTCGGGTGACAGATGATGGACAGTTCATCAGTCAGTCATTTTGCGAAAACCTGAAAAGTACTCCAAACTTACCACACAACGTGGTAATCACACTGTATCCCAAGTTCGCCATGAACAGTTGTCTACCTTGTTTGAAACAGACACAATCATCCGGATGAACCATGAAACGAGCCATAGGATCACTCAGTCTAAACTCTTGAAGACTCCGGTAACAATCGGGCAACACATGACAAACGGGTTCTTCGGAATCGTCAAAAGATTTACAAACAGACTGCGGCAATGAAGAGATAACGTCAGAGTTTCATCTACTTGATTTATGAGCAAATTGGAAGTAGTCGCCTTCCGTTTGGGAGAGGGAGAGTAATACTCTTGTTAGTAATGGGTTTGTCCAATATACCCTCACAATTGTTCTGAGTTAGCTAGATGACTTTCTGACAGAAGTAAAGCAAATGCTTGATTTTACCCGTTAGCAAAGTGGCGATCAATTAGAAATAAACCATCAACACGAAAAACAAATTATAAAAAAACAATTAAAGGAATCTAATATGCAGTTGTTAGGTGAAAGGAGCTATGCACTGGACTTGAAAATATGAAAATCAGGATTGACGTAAATTAGTGAAGGAGTCAATACCATTCGGGAAGAGATTAACAAAGTTTCGGAATGTGTACATCAGTGACAGTTGTTGTAGGCATTTACTTCTCCTCCAGTCATCTTCAGGTTTCCTCCTCTATCCTGCCGGAAACTTTAAAAACCGGGTATGTGCACCAGCGAATCCTCATTGTTTCAGCTAAACCACGTTCACGGTATGCATATCGCATACACGTGTTTATGTGCACACGATACGTGAGTAGATCAGTCAAGTCAGCCATTTGTTCTCCTGGCTTCGGCTGAAAACGTCCGGATTAATATACACCATAGCTCTCAAGTTGGGTCGATGAATTCGCACTGCTAATGAGACCCAGCTAGATGGAAACAGCTGTCCAATGCTTTCCAGCTTTTCAGCTTTTCCAATAGAGTCATAACCCTGGAAACTAGCGCTAAGATGAACGAGGATCGATGTTTGCAACCAGCTCGCGTGGATGAGTTACGCTGTCCACAGCTTCATAGCTCTTCACCTCACGCATGATTTACTCGACGACTTCAGTATATAAACATTCATAACAGTTGTGTGATCACAAAAGAACTGATTATCTTCTAGTTGCAGGGATAATTCTAAAGGGGAGAGAAAGGCCCAACAAGTAATGAAATACACGGAATAAACTACAATAGAACACTGAGAACAAACGTACCACAGCCCATGGAAATTCGCGCGGGAATAATCCGCTGCTCTGTTATTTAGAAGTGGTACCGACAATAGATGCTGCAGTCGAACTGAGTCTGTGGGCACATCTGAATCCCAGGGTGTATTTTTGACACTTTTTTGAAAATAAAGAACCGTCTGAATGTCTTCTATAGGTCACAATCTGGTGTGTACAATCAAACTGCATGTTGACTTTACAAACTATAGTGAATGCGTTTTGCCCACGCTCACATTTTGCAACAGTCCTCTCCCACCCACAACGTGGCTTTTGCCAGTATGTGTCCGTATGTGAATTCAACGTGTGAATGTTGCTAGATGCCCTGCACATCCGTCTGCTGGGATGATGATTATAAAAGAAGTTATATGTCCAAAAAATGTTCTGTTTTCCTTTCCTAGTTTCTTTTGGATCAGTAGATTTCAGTTTGATGCTCTGCGATAGGATTACAAAGCTGTCTACCCAACACTAATTTGTAGCGATTAGTTATATTTATCGTGTCGTTCAATGGCATTTACGGTTCATGTTTACTGAAATAAAAATAGTTTTCATGAGAGCAAGAAGAAGTAGCATGATCACAGGATATGGTGAAATCAACTATTTCGTAGTACTCTCATCAACTGTGTTAAAAGAGTGCGGAGTTTGGGGACAGGCGAACACACACGGGGAAGAGAAATTAATCAATACGAAGGCCAAAGGTCACTAATGTGAAACGGATTTGACATGGGGGCAAGGAGCAGGGTGGAGGCAGGGGAAGGGTGGAAAAGGATAGTGATACCTAGCAAGGCAGCGCGAGGCTAGCCACAAATTCCGTCTGTTTACATAAACCGGGGTTGTAACGTCGAATGGTGGTCGCTGCAGCGAACCTGTCTCTCTTTTAACCAAACATGAACCGAATGTATGCACACTGCTAATGAGATTATCAGGAAACAGTTGAATCCAACACATTCTATGACCATGATGTTTCTTCTTACTCTCATGAAAATGGTGAAGGGAATTGGTTGCATGAAATAAAAATAGTTGTTCAATGATTTGGTTGATACTGTAAACTAGTTCAAAAACTCTGGGGATTAGTGCATCAGGCATATTGTTGTACAGTTTTTGGTTATTCCTCATATTCGAAATAAATAAGATTGCTCAAATTTACTTCCACCGAACCTTGACGATCCGTGATCTTCCCAGTGCACGATGCGCGATATTCAAAGGAACCACACTGTTTTGCCGATTTCGACGGTATTATGTGTTGGCCCACTACACCAGCCAATCAGACTATCCAACTACCCTGTCCGGCCTACGTGGGTGGTGTGTCCGTGAGTGGCACCACTAGAAGATCCTGTCGATTTTTCCGGTCAAGAAAGGTCACTAACTCATCGGGACCCGGTGGTCATTGGTTGTTTGACGTGGCCGATTACGACGAATGTGTTGAGGCGGATCGCGGTTTGGTAAGTGCCCGAAATGTCTAATGATACGGTTACATTCTTGATCCGTCAGGAAGGTTTCAATTATCATTTCGAAGTGTGTTCTCCAGCTTGCTTATTTTCTTAGCCTTAATTTAATCACAAACACTAAACTCAGAATGATATTTGGGCCCAATAACTAAGTGATACGCCTTTGCCCGCCTCTACGGTTGTTCTTTATTTTTCGGTAAGAAACCTCAGCGACTGCGAAATGCAGCAGACCGAGTGCGTGAAGCAACCGAACGTCGGTTTCATTCATTGGGGCGCTTTGTTTACAATATTTTTGCAACCTCTCGCTTCGCGCTATGCTTGTTAATAAGAAAATGGTAATTATAACGGCTACCAGGAGAACATTGCAACTCTGCAGAACCATAAAACAACTTATAAAATACATTGTGGTTCCAATTAACCATTAGTCAATTACAGGTGCATTAAAACAAAAAACATTTACTCTGATAGAGATAAACTATTCCGCTTCAACACAGACAGTGGAATTCGCCAAACACTTTCTTCGGAGTAGCTGAAATTTGGAACGAAGCTCGCTTCTTCTGTTTGCAAAACAAGCCCTCACTTATCCCTGAAACCACGATTGTGTATCAAAGGGTTTTAATCTGTTTTTTTGTTCATATAGATCGTGGCAATTTAAAACTCCGGTCAAAACTCTAAGGGAGCATGGAATAATAAAAGTGATCACGGACCGCAATCGTTTAAGCTATACACAGTTTCGCATGATTCTCCGCAAAAGACGTTATTAAGACTGTACATATAAGAATCGGAGCTTTGAGCAGTGATCAGAATGAATAGTTTTGTTACGAGAGAAACCCCGGGGATGTTTTTCATAAGAAAAGCATCGTGGAAAACCGCTGAACAGAGCTCTTTCATTAATTTAAGCATGTGTCACCATTCGACTGAAATGTCGTCAGGTATCACAAAGTAGAACAGCTTTATTAGTGTATACAGTCAACTAACACATGTGGTTCTTTACGGCGTCGAAAGCTTTTTTCTCCCTCTCTCATGTGAATCTCATAGTATTCACGACTAATATATACCCGGTTAGGGTAATAGATTACCACCAATGACGCAAAGGCAAACGCAAGCCGAAAATACCTTGTGGATCAAGTAAGATATAGCAATCCTGCGCACTTACACACACTGATGACATGCGCGCGCCGCTTGACTGGCTACTATCAAACTCAGTATCAGTTTCACATTAGAGCACCGTTTTTCTCACCCTACTCAATCAGCATTACTTCTCAGTAAACAGTCCTATGAATTTTCTCTACTATTTAATTGGACTGTCCACACTTATCAAGACATGGTGAAAACACACTTTAACTGGGGTCCATGTTGCGCTTGCATGTAACCCTCCATCCAAAATGTTCTTGCCATGAACAATAGTTAATCACATATATTCTCGTTCCAAAAAACCCTCGGGATTGTTATTCCGTCTTCAATGTCAGGATTCTTGATCTTGGTTTCTTCTTCCACACCCATCTTGTGCATCAGTCCCCCAGTAGGACACAAAACACCATTTCAGCGATATTCCTTTCACATTTAACCAAGCTTTTTCAATCGTCATAGGTCAATTTCTACATTGTTGTGGGTTAATTCCACTGTTCATGAACCCCATTTTCTATTGATTTTGATCTGATCACTATAAGTTTATATCGAACTCTGTTTTGCGCAGAATTCTTACAAATTAGCCTGAATTTCGTTTCTCTCAATCTCAACGCACTCGTGTCTCAATCGTCTTAATCTTCATCTGTTTTAAAATCGACCCAAGACAGACTGCTTCACGCGAACAGGTAAAATTACCATCAAGCTGCAAAACATTTTTTCTTTTTATATGTAAACTTCTCGCTTTATGTGCCTTGTTTCGACCTAAATATTTTGTTAAGCGTTCTCCTTGCACTGAATGATTTTGTTCAATGAACGTTTCGGATACCCACTATGTGCAAACATTGATATAATAACACCGAGCTTTTTTATGTTAGTGTGTTCTCACTGCAGATCTTTCCTGCCCTTTTCGCTAGACAACGAACTAAGTTTATTTTTACCCTAGGCGGTCCAAAGCTTCGGAAATGGATTTATTGCTTTCTATGCACAGAACTATCTTGATTGCTGGAGATTCGGGAGAACTTTTCGCATTACTTAACATGATACATCCTGATTTCTGGATCAAAGTATTCATCCCAATTCTCTATCATCAAGTATACTTAAATGATCAGGACGTGCTATTCTGAAATGTCTGGTTGCAGCTTCCAGAACTCTCTTTAGCATGGATATCAACGAAAAAGTTTCGCGTTAAATGCCGTCACCTCTCTGGTTCATTAGGTAATTAAACCCTCAGGCCCAGCTGTGGATTATGTGCCTCCTCAGACCTTCTCATCTGTATTTGTCCTAGTTTGCCTACCCTCCTACACATACCGCATTTATTTATCAATCCCAAACGTGGCTGTTGAGCAACCTAAAGAACAAAAATCAATATACTCAACGGCGTAGGATTACATTCAAACAACTTGTCCATAATTGGCATTGCTTCAGGGAGCAGTTTTCTCACATTTGTCGGTCTCCATCGACTGAAAAGACCCCCGGTTCCTCAGTCCATTCATTCCGATAGGCTGAAGATACTTCTTTTTGTTGGGATACTTCTGTCAAAGAAATTTCATAATTTTCTGGAGCTGTTTTATACGTGTAATTTTCGTTTTCGGTTAACTCTCAAATTATCAACTTGCTTCGAGTGGATATTTGCCCTCCACCGGTTCACGTGTCCGTTTACCCCATCTACAATAACTACAGAAGAACTACATAGAATAGACTGCGTTTAACACTTGTGCTTAGTCGTCATCATAACTTCAAGTGGGACATCTCATATTCCAAACTGTGTGGAGAAATTTTATGAATGCTCTTGTCTAATGGAAACATTCAAACAAGGCAAAACCAAACCAGAAGAGGCTTTATCTGTTTTTATCTACCACGGAGTTTTTTCTATGGTTGTCTGTGGAATTTCCATTGTTGTACACAAGAATTAACAATCCTTCTATGCAGACTGTGAAAGCTAATTCACGGTTTCCGTTTACCATTTGAGAATCTATTTTCAACACTTTTTGATCTACACCGGTCCGGATGTGAAAGCATTTCAGGGAACATAACTTCTGGTCCCAGCCATATAGTACTATGTGCTCTGTCTGAGTTTCTCTTTCACACATCAAAACCATTTTCATGAACCAACCAACCTACTCTCGCTTTAACATCCACAGAAATTTGGCTGTTATTTTTGCCGCCGGAATTATCAAAAATTGAATGTTGGTATCTTCTTAATTTCTCAGCAGATCTTTAATTTTGTATAGTTTCAGGCACAAATAATTTCCCTCTCTTCTTTGAGGTGAAGTTTACTGTTTAGCTGAAATGTCTACACAAATACGAATGCAATAACAAGTGAACCAATATTTTCCCATACCTATAATAACACACCAACAGTTACACAACTCGGATTGCCTAATCTGCTCTAACAATCAATGGTTTTGATCCAGAGATAATGACCGCAGATTTGAGGCGATCGAAAGAGCCCCGAGGGTCCATCCACTTCAGCATAGAACGAGAAGTACGTACGAAAATCAGAGAGTAATGATACAGGTGGTTTGAGCAAT